CTTATTTAAATTTTGTATTAGTATGTATATTAATGTTCATATGTTGCAGGTAAAACGGTTAATTGATGAAGATCCACGATATATTGCAGTCCAATCGTCAAGCCTGAGAGAAGAGTTGTTCAGAGAATATTGTGAAAAGCTCGAAGCAGAAGATGAAGAAGAAATGGCAAGAAAAGAAAATGAACGGAAACAACGGGAACGAAAAGAAAGGTATTCATTATGATCTTGAATTTTATATTATTGCTTTGGTAGATATATGGTGTTATTTATATTTTACTATCTCAAGAGAAGAAGCTAGCTTAAAGAATAGAGAAGCTCAAGTGAGAAGTGAAAGGCGATATCAGAATTATGATAGGAATTCTGCAAAAAGGAAAGCGATGCGCGATAAGTCTATTCTTGAATTCCAAACTCTATTAATTGATTTAGTGCGGACGCATGAGGTATATTGAAATTTGTGTTCAACATTATATTTTCTTGAATGCGTGTTCTTTCTAATGTTCATTGTAACATATAAGACCACATGGGACGGAAAGAAACATAGTCTAGAGCATGACCCTCGTTTCCATGGTGAAGGCCTCGAAGATAATGATAGAGAACGTCTTTTTAATGAACATACTGAAGATCTATACCAAAAGCGCCTAAAATCATATCATGAACTTCTTAGCCAACATGTAAAATTAGACACTACGTGGATTGAGATTCAGCCAGTTATCAAAGAGGATCCACGTGCAGTGCGGCTTTCAAAGAATGAAGCTCTTTTGGAGGAATTGTTTGACAAATACTTGGCTAGGGAGATTGAAAAGGCTAAAAAAGAATTTTTAGAACTCTTGAAAGAAAATCAATTTATAGAATATAGGACGCGCATGGTTCAATTATCAGAAAATGGAGCAAAAGATGAGACAGGTGCGGAGAAAGAAAAAGCTCGTGGGTTAACTAAAGAGGAAATTCATGATGTGCTCAAGGTAGTTATTTTATTCATTTGAGCCTATAAATTTTTTCTCATAAATAATAATAATAACATAAATTAATATAATTATTATTAATGTTCCTATAGGAGGATAATCGATATTTGGTTTTAAACCATATGCCTGAAGTCCGTGATGAATTCATTACGGAATATTTAAATAATTTTGAAGCTCCAAAAATGACTGTTCATCAAGGACGTTAGGGTTGTAGCCAAAACTTTTTTGAATGATGACATCAGGGTTTGGGAATCAAGGTTTCTATTTCATTTGGGATACCCAAATTTATATCCCATTTTCGGTCAATAGTATCGAACTCAAACACCGTCTAATTCATTAAATCAATGCTATAAATTATTAAAATTCTTTTTATTTTCAAGTGATTTAGTGACTAAGGAGGGTATGCTAGATCTAATAGTTATATCGGAAATAATTACATTAACCCGGATTTGCTTATATTGGGATTTTAAACCATTTTAATATAAGGAATCGCAGGGATGCGATATTCTTATTTATCGCATATCGATTGATTGGCTAATTTTGTCACAAAAATCAAGTATTATAGGAAATTTTTTTATACATTTATATGCAACATTTCATGCTAAAAGTCTTGAGAAAAGATGATTATCTTAATAAAATTTTGAAAAATCTTCAAAAAAAAAAAATAAAAAAAATGTAAATATTTTTTTCTGTTCTTAAAAATATTTAGCACGAACCTTTGCATGTAAGTATATGTTATGCCCTGATGACACTGCCCAATGTTAATTGGTCTAGCTCGAATTACAATTTAAATTTGGGTTATCAATTTTGTTTCAAATGCAAATTAGATAAAAAAAAAAGAATTTAATTAGGCATTGCGTACGCTCGTATATTGCACTTTAACAAATTGTATATCTGCACTATAATGTATAATATTTTTGGTTTTTAAAAAAATTGATGATATTTTAAAATTTTGCTTATGAACCAGTTTTTAATATTTAATAAAAAAAAATTCCTACAGTATTAAGTTTTATTATGCTATATTTACGTATTTATATAATTTTTGGTTTTAAAAAGTAATTTCTTTGGTTAATAGTTTTTTTTTTTTTTTTTAATCTTCAAAGGTGAGGCTGGTTAATAGTTTTTATTTAGTTCAAATGCTAATTTTGATTATAATTTTAGTATATATTTGAAGAGTATAACTAGTTATATCTGCAACTTTTGGATATCTATTTGAATAGTTCAATCAGTATTAAAGATCTGAAAAATTTTTTTAGTTTTTTGAAAACATAAATTGATAATTTTATGTTCTTATAATAATTTTAGTGTTTTTAATGGTAAAAAAAAAAAAAAAAAAAAATTATATATTTTCTATATATATATATATATATTTTTTTCAACTTTGGCAGTCTTGCCAGTGATCCTTTATTAAGGTTGTCTTGTCATAGGCTGTACAAAATACTTTAAGCTTAATATTTAGGCCTGACATCTCACAGTTACTTCTATAAGCACTTACAAGTGATCTGCTACACTAGGCTAATAAATCTACAAGAGATATTATGGTAAATCAACAGAAAATCTAAAGATTACTTATTCTAGAAAGCTTTATCAGACCATTGCTCTACAATAGAATATTGCCAATTTGATGACATTTTCTCATAGGGAAGTAAAAAAAAGAAAAAAAATATTAATACTAACACTAATACTAAAAAGAGAAAAGAGAAAAAATGAAAGTAAAAAAAAAATCTGATAGTCACAATTATAAGCCTGTGTTGGTTTAACAAAAATTATATATTACAAGATAAAGAAGCTTTGTATCTAACTCTATCCTAATAATATATCTAATCTACACAAAAAAAAATAAAAATAGCAGATTTAAACTAAACTAAACTAAACTAGACAGAGTAGTTAAAAGGCACTATTAATCTCAAAATATTGTTTAAATAGTTTCTTTTAATCGAAGCACATCACCTAATTGTGTTGTTCTTCAGACGTGTTCGGTTGCTTAATTTGGCCATCTATCGATTTGTATTTACTTAAAAGTAAACAACCCATTTTAGAAAGTAATCAACCTAATTTGGGAGATAAGCAATACCACTGTTTTGAAAAATTACATATCGATCTTTTAGAGGGGATAAGCTAAAATGTTCACTTTTTGACAAAATTTCTTTGAAAAAAGTGGCGAGCTAATGAAACTTTGTAGGTTTTTTCTTGTAAGTTTTACAGTTATATAGGGACTATCTCTAGTTTTTTTAATATACTTAGTGTCGACCTAGTCATTTTGTATTTTCAGAATATCCTTCTGGTTTGGATGCTAAATATAATAGAGAAGTCTGCTAACAAGAAAGCTTGACTTCTACAAAAACCATCCAAAGTAGTCTGCTTCTTGGTTTTATACTCTGGGTACTTCATTAACAACACATCTACTTGTGTAGGACCAAGTATATTATTACTTTTTGATGTCTTCTATAGCACTGACTGTAGTTCAGATTTTTAAACTTGTTAACTAGAGGATTGTTGAAAAGATTTGTATATTTTCTGTATATTATATGAAAATATAAATTATAGATTTTATATTCTTAGTTGGTTCTTAAAAAAAAACATATTTTTAAATACAATTTTTTTAAATGTTCTTGAAACACTAAGAATATCAAATCTTTAACACTGAGTTCAATTATAGATTTTATTTTATAGATTTTATACTTTTATGTAAAGTGATATAAAAATTACATTTTTAATGCATTTGGCCAAAAATAATTACCTTTTTAATGCATCTTTATATACTTTATGAAAGTTATATTAAAAATATAATTTAAAATTTTTTGTCAGTTATACCACATATTTAAATTTGTATTTTAATGTAACAAGCTAATATGTAATAATTATTATATTGTAATATACTTGCTTAATTTAACCAAATATCAAGTATTTTAATAATAAAATGTATTGTTGCCAGTTAAGTTAAACAAATATATTATTTGACTTAACATATAAGAGTGATTAAAAAATATTTTAAACAAGAAAAACTAAAAAAATCTAAACTAAATCAAAAATACTATAAATAACTAAATAAAAAATCAAAAATAATAAATAGTTATTGGATATAAAGCATCTAATAATAGAATTATTGTAAAATAATTCATTATCTGGCTATGAAATTTAATAAGTCAGCTTCTGGACCCCAAAGAGGTCCAAAAATAACAATATTAAATTTGCTATCAAATAAACAAATTATTAATTAGTGGTATCTAATAATAGTATTATCTAATAGTTTATAATAAATAAATCAACAAAAAACTAAAGTTATTTGATGGTATTGTTATAGAACAGTTTTATTTTATTAGTTATTATTTTATCTTAGTATTATTTTATTATTTTGATGTTTGTATTTTATTAGTTATTAGTTATTATTATATTTATCTTAGAGAAGAATTTAAAAGACATGTATAACGATTAGCC